CTTATGAATGTCAATTAGTCCCCAAGTAAAATCTGGCATTGTTCTATCCCTCAGTGACTTCCTTTTGTTCATTGCTGATATCTCAAGAGAGTTACAGCTATATTCTTTGCTTGTATACACTATTGCTTCTTAATGATCTTGACAGTGTATTAATGTCAACCTTAGTAATTATGATAGTTTTAGCACATATATATAGTTGTGACTAGAAATACATTTTGTTATAGTTTTTGCTTCTTCATATGTCTTGGAGTGCCACTCAACAATCAATGCATCTTAGTTCCGAAAGCCTAATAAGTTAATGGATTGCATGTACGTTCACGAGATGATCTAGCGAAGATTAATAACTTTCTACTGTAACAACAACAACAAAACCGTAATGTCCCGATTATTTGAGGTCGGCTATAGTCCTTATCACTCGTATTAGCCAATTAAGATGTATCTTTAATTTTCAGCTACACTAGTCCCATGAAACTCTTCAAATGAGCCTGGTTTTTAATAGAAAGAAAAGCATGGCTAATAAATAAGGATATGAAAGATACATTTTTATTTTTATATTGTTTTACACATATCTACCTGACTCCATGCAGTGATATAGAGTTTATGCTTTTTGATGCAGAATGAAACAAGGTTTCTACAGGGGAAGATCACATAGTAAAGGAGCCATCTCATTTCATGGTTTCTGGAAAATGCTAATTACAATCTCGAAATCTGTCATCCAGGTATGGTGTCTTTGAGCTCATGATACCAATATTGATTAGTACATTGTGTGCTGTTCATGAAAAAGATGACAAAGGATGCATATTCCATTAGGATTTGAAGCTTGGCATTAGTACTCAATTTTCAGATAGGTTCGAATAATGTGCCTTAACTGAAGTATTATACCTTATATATACTTTGCCAATTGTTCTTTGTTTTGGCCTCCATGATAGATAGGTCACTGCTCCAATGACAATGTACTATTATATGTATTAGTTTTTTCACTAACCATTTTATTCTTCTTCTTTTTTTTTTTGTGTAATATGAGTCTTCTTTGAATAACAAATAGGATACTATATAATGCATATTTGGATATTAAATTTTACATTCCACTAATTAAACTCATACATTTAGTATATATGCCTTACATTTTGAGCATGATTTTGACTTGATGAAGCTTGAGAAGATGGCTCATGCAAGTTTGTTCGTGCCAAATACAATGAATCTGTAAAATGTGGAATAGAAACAATTCGAAAATCTAAAATTAAATTCTTGAATGCATGCATGCATATATGGTATTCAAGAGGGATTGAAGATATGAGTTCCACAATGTGTATTTTAGGTCTTTCAAATTTATTTCATGTTTCTGAACAGATCTACATGTGAATGATGACTCCATTATGCATACATCTATGCAATTAAGATCTTGTCCTTGAAAGGTATGTTTCTCTCTCTCTCTCTCTCTCTCTCTCTCTCTCTCTCTCTCTCTCTCTCTCTCTCTCTCTCTCTCTCTCTGTATATGTAAGTTCAGATTATCTGTGTGTCTGACATGAAGGATAACAACTTATTAATTCCCCATCTAAAATTTATTATCATTTGGTAAAAACTCCCTTAATTGAAAAGGTAAGAAAAATGATTGATGTACTTTCAGGATATATTAGAGAAAAATCATCAATGGTATTTCTTTGTTGATGATAAATTCTATAAGCTGTAAATTATCAGTACTGCCAAATTAAATTTGGCAAAATTCTATAATCTCCTGTGGTTTTTGTCATTAGTCAGCCTTGCATCTCGAAAATCTATCTTAGATTTTTCTTTCTTTCATTCTTTTTTTTTTCTCTTGAATTTTCTTTTAGATGCTAATCTATACTAAATGATTTGAAGTTTGGATCATTATGTGTTTGGAGAATTCACGCTTAACGATTCTTGATGTAGTTGGGGGAATCAGATGCGGCCATCACACAGTCAATAAACCAAGGTTTGCATGGGGACCCCGTTGCCTTTTTCCTGTGCATCAGCAGCAACACTTCTCCCTTACTGTGTGACCTTATTGATCTATCCCAAGGTTGGAAAGATAGTGTTACGTGTGCAGGAGGATTAGCAGCATACTGTGCGTGGTGGTTTCTACAGGCCATGCATTATTTCGAACGCGTACTTGCTTTGCATCTGCTTTGGTGGTAGTATATATAGGTCATATATTCCATGAAGGATGAGATTGTGCACGCAGAGCGCCGATGGTGGCTTCGATATCGCAGGCGTCATATGACTCGATCTGTGTGCCGCATAAGGACGAGAGGGATCTCGTTTGGAGCAGAGGCAAGCCGACGTCGCCCCTCATGCATGCACATGCGTGCACAGGAATCTGTGGACTTATGGTCGTCCTTTTAGAACTTGTCTCGGCATACTGGACCTTATGTTTACAGAAGGAGACAAGCTTTAAGAGGCCGCATTAATGGAACATGTATTGCCACCTTGTCTTCTCTCTCTCTCTCTCTCTCTCTCTCTCTCCTCTAATGTCTTCTCCCAGACCTGCAGCAAAAATGGAGTATATGAATTAGAGGTACAGACTGAGAAGGGTATGGTCAAGGATGGAGGAGGAAGAGCGCGAGGCGCTTCTTGCAGAAGCTTGTTCCCCGTGCATACATGCTACCACAAGATTTCTCCCTTCCTTCCTCGCCCTCTCGTGGACTGAGGCGGGCTCGCAGGCACTCCCACCAAGGAAGCTCTGCTGCATGCGTTACATGCCTGCTTGCTTTCCTGCCGTTCCGGTGTCAGCTTCGACCCCTGCGCTGGCTTTGCAGTCCTGTTTGATGGTTACGTGTTAAGCGTAGGCTACGAGGCAGGAGGCCCGGCATTCTTCCTTCAGCTGATCTTTCATGACACCCCTCCCCTCTCTCGGACAAAATTGAAGTGTATCGATATTAGGTCATTTATAAAAAAAAATCTTTAATAATGAGGTTTTATATTCTCTCATATTTATTTTTTACTAGAAGCTGTTTTTTTATATTAAGACCAAAATATCCTTAATAAAATTTTAAAAAAGATTTTCAATATCCATTAACCCTATTGATGTTGATTTATTTGGGTTTAATAAAATTTTAAGTATTTGATTTATTATTTTTAGGATCTAGATAGCCCTTCATTTTTTTCCAACTCACCTCTCTACTCATTCGATCGATGCAACAACAACGGGTAAAACGGTTGTCATTGCCAACCTTCTTGTCAGTGGTGGCTATTATCGTCGTCACCATCGCTAATAAGAAGCAAGGATAGAGTGAGCTCTAGCTTCCTATATAGCATGCATATATAACAGTTATATGGAACATGTCCCTATCTCCAAATGAAGTCATAAGTAAATAATTATCTTGTTCTCAATTATCGATTGCAACCTCAAGTCGATAACATTCGAGTTGCTAAGGCTCACTCGACCCCATCTTCACAATTACAGATGATCAGGATAATGGGATAGCATAAACATATCAACATGCGCGCATGACTATATTGGTCGTTCACAACCAGAGAAGAGATGAGGTTGCTACTAATATAAATACTAAAGAGATGTAGAGGAGTTTCTTGTCACCGATGAGGGTAGCATGCTATTGCTATTTGCAAATATGGAAGAGGAACATAAGAGTTCACGACTAGCGGAGAAGAGTAGAGGACTTGGTCGTCAAAGAGGGGACGATGCTACCACCATTTTCTGCCATAAAGGAGCAGAGGAGGGAGAGGGGTGTTTCTATCATTGATTACCTTGGTTTGGTATAACCCTCATGTAAATGTTTTCCCTCGTGATTCAAACCCATCCCGACCCGATCTGCATTGTAGGATCTAACCCAAATCTATTTGATCCGGATCGTGATCGGTCGAGTTTGAATTAAATTGCTCGATTTAATGAAAAGGATTTATCCGATCTCAAATATATTTTTATATTTTAAATAAAAAGGGATGATCTCTAATAAAAAGAAAACATGAGGGTGCCATCCAGTAAAACTCTATCATGGAGGACTTTTTTTTAAAGGTAAATTGCCCGTCAATATTTGCATCAAATAGACCAATCCATGGGCGACGTGGAGTCATCTAGACAACCGGGGCTGTTCTAAACGGATATCTTGGTGTTCATCAGCCCAGCAATATTTACTGTGGAGTTTGGGTGATAAGACTCGTCGGTTGCTTTCTTGGGAGATGTCTATTTTCTCGATCAAGATTACCAATTCCTGGTGTTAACGAATAGATATGCTATGGCTGATGAGTCAGTACGGCTTGGTTCACGGGTCGATGTCGGGAGCCTTCTGTTGGCTTAGTTGGACACCGCGGTCAATTAGGCCCTCGCGACGGGGTGCTAGTTGGCGTCGGTTGGGATCCAGGCGCCGTTTATGATGAGCCGCATCTTTCCGTCTCCAAGATGGTTGGCAGCTCATCCTCGTACACTGAATGGCGATTCCCAGGTTGAGACATTCATCGCTCGCGGGTGGTCGTCCACCTACAAAAATGGCCCTCGCAGGGTAATCCCCGGTTGTGGCCCCTCCGACGAGTAAGTTAGAGGCTTTATACTATTGCACGAGGGTCGATAGTGCGTGATCGCTGACCCTCGAGGGACGGGACAGGACTTCTAACCAGCCGTCGTGTCCGGGACGTGCGGAGCTGTGTCAGACAGCACCGCCCGAGTTCTCGGGACGGGACAAGTGGAATAGTTTCTCGGTACGATTCTGATTTAGCGTATGATGTGTCCAGGGCACCAAAACATATCGTATCACCTGGATCATCAACTTGCTTTCTTTCCTACTCTCAGGAGAGCTGTAGATCCGAAAGAAACTAAAAACAAAAAGCGATGAAAAGTGCTTTCTTTGTGTCCTTGTACTCATATGAAATTGCATGGTTATTTCTGACATTTTCATTCAACAACATAACAATCCAAACAAATCAACGCACTCTCGTCTCTTCTTATTTTAGCATTCGCCACATGTCAAAAGGGCGGAGCAAACCAAGTCCTGCAGCAGGCAAGTAGCCTCAAGGCGCACAACACATCAGTTAGTCCTCCTGCAGTAGCGGCGTATCTCACCCTTTCTCCCGGTGAGGACTCCGATCTTACCCATCTTCACCATTGCAGCTGCAAACTTCCTCTGGAAGAGCATGGGATTGCCCGCGAGCTGCCTCACCTTCGCGGCCGTGGCCCATGTTGACGTGAGGGTCTGGTCGGAAGTGAACAGACCTCGGTTCACCAACAGGTTCCTGTAGTAGCTGGTGTCGAAAGTGAAGGGGCTCGGTGAATCCATGGGCACCACGCTGTTGCTCCGTAGAGGGCACCGCCTCTTCAACTGGGCAGCTCGCTTTCTTGGCGAAGGAAGGGCATAATACGTACGAACCTATTGGTGAACCGAAATTTTGTATAAAAACAAATGCAAGTAGATCATAATAAATAATAAAATTAAATAAAAATTATAATTAAATAAAATATTAAGATTTACGTAGAAAACCATGTGAATGATAAAAATCATGGGACAAGCCAAAGAAAATTTATTATAAAAATAATGAATATATAAATTTCAAAATCTCTTGTCGAAAATCCAAGCAATAATCACAAGAGAATAAGAGAATAACTGAGATACAAGGATTATGTCATTGTACATAATATCGAAAATCTAATTTGATCTAACCCTAGGTGATAACACTGCTTGGATGAATGAGAATAGTCTCTGTATTATCCTTTTCTTCTTCCCTTTCCTTTTTCACAGCCATCGCTGCCTCTTTTTTTCTTCCCTATCACCACACCTCTTCGTTAAAAGGGTTAGGATTTAGGTTAAATTAGAAAAGTGAGTTGTGGGCTATTAAAGCCCACTATGAGCTGAACCAATGGGTTGTCTGCCCATCAGCCTCCCCATTCAGCCCATAAGGGAGGCTATCCTATGACTCCTCGATATGAAGCCATATCGACCACCTATCGGCATATCTCCTGTCATTCTTTCAGTAAGATCTTTATCAATATATCTACCCCGTTGTCATCTGTGTGAATTTTCTGAAGTTATAACTGCTTCTCTTCAAGTACATTTCGAATCCAATGGTATCTGACATCTATATGTTTTGACTTGGAATAAAAAATTAGGTTCTTAAACAAATGGATGGCGCTCTATTATTATAGTACATGACATAATTTTCCTGTTTCAACCCCAATTCTTGTAAGAATTTTTTTATCAATAATATTTCTTTGTAAACTTCTATAGCAATAATATATTCTACCTATGTGGTGAAAAAGTAATATACCTTTGTAATCTAGATTGTCATAACATAGCTCCCTCTACAAAAGTGAGTATAAAACCTAATGTGAACTTCCTCATATCAATATCTCTTGTTATATTTGTATCCGTGTAACCTATCAACATAGGTTGTCACAGACTTAGCTGGTTTTGCCTAAGTCGTGTGGCACCCTTGCGTATCCATTCGCAAAAGTTAGCCTCCCCGAAACCTCCCATGGTCCCTTAGGACTTACAAAAGAAAAAACAGGTTAAGGAAAGTACCTCAATCGGGATCCACAAGCAAACATTTCAGGAAACACTTTATAGATAATGCAAATTACAAACAGACTTTACAAGCTCTGAACGATTGTACAACAATGGGTTAAAATGATCTACTACAAACCGAATATCTCTCACAAGTGTCCACATGACACAATCTTTATTTACAAGCCTAAGAAGGCCACCAAACACAACTAAAATAGGATTGTTATGCCTTCGCCTATCTCTCTACATGTTGGGCACAATATGAATAAACCAAAAGATATGGACATACATAAGCATTACATCCAACATCATGATTAGAAGTTTATCCGTGACATTCTCCCAACTTATTCCTTCGACGTCCTCGTCGAAGCATTTACTGACACTGTAACTCCTCGCCTTTGTTGAGTCTTCAATCTTTTGTTCCAGCTGCAATGCGCCTCTTGGCTCCCAACTGCTCTCCGCTACTGTTTTTGAGTAGTCGAACCTTTGATCCGCTATGCTGCTTCAACTCGCCAATGACTTTGACTCTAGTGTGAGGTTGGCTGAGTTGTGCTTATCCCTGTTGATTCCTACGGATCCATCAGATGAAGAAAAAAACCATCCTTACTATGTGCCAGTCTCTTAAATGCCTCATGTTGCTTGAACTGGGTGGATGCATATTGAAGTTTTAACAAGCATCGCCTCATAAACTTCTGAAGTTTTGGGTCCTTCCTCCACAAAATTTGCCCATCGACTCTTCTTTCACTTAGTTGTCACTTCCAAGTAGATTTATATCACTTCCGCTTTCGATTAGCATTCTGTTGGGAAATGAAGCGGATAATCTACTCTCAGTAGCACTGATCATCATTGGTGAGGATTTGACAACTATTGTCTTCTAATATCTTCAAAGGGTCGTTGTACCTGTGCAGAGCTCCTCTATTGGATAGATAAGAGAATTTGGGTACTCGGTTTCACCCATTCTCTTAATCGTTGAGAAGGCAATGATTACTTGACTTCGCCCACCTCCTCAAAGGTTGTACTCCATACATCGAGCTGGTTATTGACATTTGCCTGCTCTTTGCTCACACTTTTGAAGCACTCGAAGTGTTTGTACTCATTCCATTGAGTTAGCTACTGTGATTCACCTTCTTAATGCCATCGAACTTTTGGAATACAGGAAGTTTTCACTCCAACTTGGAGTAAGTCTCTAATAGTTTTGGTTGCCTTTGGGATTATACCGTCTTCTCCATCAACCCTGCCGCCTACTCTACTGAGTAGCAAAGGTACAACATCGTGTACTACCTACTTCATTTCTTGGTCATGCACTCTTGCACGACCCGAAGTCCTTCACTTTCGGCTATCTTGATGAGAAGCTCGTTGACACTAGTCTTACGAAGTTCCTTGGCCTCTGCCCTTTAGCCTTGTCTCGGTACTTGGAGTTTGCCTTTGCTTGGTCCACCTCCTCGGCCCCTTTTACAACCAATCACTCTCCCTCCATGTGAGCAAGGGATCAATGACTTTCACGGAAGTCTCGCCTCTATGGTACTATGGCGCTGCCATGCCCATGGCCCTACTATCCGTTGCCTCGTATCTGCATCCCTTTTCTTCACGATCAGTACATATGTCTCTATGGCACTCCTCCGAGTCTACCTCAATTCTAACTGATGCTTGATTTTGGGTAGCTAAGTCCTTCTGGACTCATCGTCGCTTCCTTGTCCATTTCAACCCCTTGCTTTAACACATCTGTGTTATCCAAACAGCTCCCTTTGGTCGATGGAAAGACAGACTGCAAATCTCATGCATGGCCTCTGCCATCATGTTATAGGGTTTGCACTGATTCTATTCTCCTTAGCTTCCTTGGTAGCAACGTTCGCTTACTCGACCTTGTCCTCTGACTTGTCGAGCTCCCTTAAGCGAATATGGGCTCTAGAGTAGTCCAACTCTCCAGCTACTTCGATTATACATCTGTATGATCAAGTCTCTCCCATGGGACTCATTGGTACTTGCATTCGAACTTTTCCCTCGGTGGAACACACCCCCCATATGCTGATAACCAAGGTTTTTATCCGATGCAAAACTCGATGTACGCATGGAAGACCCGCCTCTGTGGTACCATGGCCTTCACTCCTTAAATCCATAGCCTTCTTGCCATCGTGTTGATCACTGAAGTGGAGCTCCCAATAGCTTTCGATCATATCTCCGTATGATATAGTCCCTTACGGGACTATGTCGTGTTTATCACATTGCCACGAACTATTCCACCATGATCCGCTGCACCATGTCATCTTTGGTGACATCTCCATTGCATTCTGATCCTTGTGGGATTAACTTGAATTGTGATCCCTCCATGTGTGGCCTTGGCCAATACATCGTAAGGTCTCTTCCACCTTCGATTTTGTTCGCTTCTTCGGCAATCGACCTTCATCCACCCGCTCTTAGGTCATACTTAGATGAAGCACCGCTTTAGAATAGTTCGTCGCCTAGTAGCTCCCGAAGTCCACCAACTTCGCTGAAAATGATGCACCATTGTATGGATCCTAGGCCCTCGCGCCCACCATTCTACGGGTCAACCCACCCTTGAGTCTGATCTCCATATCGACTCCAAGTGTGCATTTATTTATATTGCTTTGAGTCGCTCTCCCACTTGATCTCGCAATACATCCACCAATGCATTCTCTCAAGCGAGATCATGCGACGACTCCTCGCCACTCACTCGGTCCATTGAGCTTCGTGGAGTTGTTATTTTTAAGGTACTCCTCAATATGTACAGTCTGCTACACATGATTCTCCTTCTAGAGAGCCGGGACTTATCCCTCTTGGATATTTATCACATTGGAGTAACATATCTCTTTATTTCCTTCACTCTGAAAGTTTCGGAGACTACCATCCCCTTACACCGATTTGCTGAACGAACTATGCATTATTCTACCTCTTGCAAACGCATTTGCTAGATTGTGACTCCACGTCAGTATAGCCCTCGCTGCACCACTCAAGGCCTAGCAACATGTTGAACTAGCTACACACTTCAGCCTCCTACGGATGTATCCTTCTCATGTCGAAGAGAAAGTTCTAATGCTTTATGGCATTGAGTTTCGGTTGCCCTGGGATGGCCACGAACATTCCATCGTCCGCATATAAGCCCTTGCATGAGTATCAAATTCTTCGAGTTAGCAATTTCCCTCATCTCTATGAGTTTTGCACAACTCTTTCGGTCGTTGAGCAACTCATTCCATCTTACGTGGTCTCATCCTTTACCAAGCGCCTCGCTTGCCTTGAGCACCATCAAGTATAGTTGTCAACGTCGAGTCGTAACTCGAACTCAGTCATCCTAATCTTTGTGTGCTACGTATTCTTCCAAACTTTTTTATTCTCATGATGCCTCTTGCGCGAAGGGTTGGTCATTCCTCTGAATATTAATCTCAGATGCCCGCTCCTCTTAGCGACTCCTTTTTCCTATATCTCAATGCCCGTTTTCCCCCAAACGATCACTCGTATGCTAACTGTCCTTAATGCAACCCCACTAGGTCCCCCATATTTGCATGCTAAGTGTTTTTATGAGTGCTTGTCCCGCTCTAATGCTATCTGTCACGGACTTAGCTGGTTTTGCTTAAGTCGTGCGGCACCCTTGCATGTCCGTTCGTAAAAGTCAGCCTCCCCAAAACCTTCCATGGTCCCTTAGGACCTACAAAAGAGAAAATGAGTTAGGGAAAGCGCCTCAATCGGGATCCATAAGCAAACATTTCAAGAAATACTTCATAGACAATGTAAATTACAAACAGACTTTACAAGCTCTGAACGGTTACACATCAAAGGGTCAAAATGATCAACTACAGACCGAATATCTCTCACAAGTGTCCACATGACACAACCTTTATTTACAAGCCTAAAAA